TCGGATGGGTTTCAAAGGGATCATTTCTCAAAGATCCCGCGTTGCTCTCCTTGTTACTGCTGTTCTTTTCTTCATTTCTCCTATAACTCTTTCATATACTTTCTCGCACCAGGGTATTCCTATCTAAGAATTCGTCTTCATTGAGTTATCGTCGTTTCATTGACTGGCTCTGCTTGTTCGATTTCTCCTACGGAGGGATTGTATCGGACGGTACGGGTGGGTGGGACATACACTACGTGCACGCATGGAAAAGCGGGAGGGGAGATATGGAGGAAAGAAAAGAAAATGTTCAGTAGGGGGAAAAAAACCAAGAAAGTGGGAAAGCGGAAGGACAAAAGAAAATGATGACATTTGGTTAAACAAGTTTTGCGTATCGCATAAAAAACGCCTTGTAGGTAGAAAGATTTGCTTTCATTTTCTAAATTACCACATCCCCTCAACCATTCTACACCACGACACCGGAGTTGGCTGCGATACGCTGTGATAAAATGTTAGTATGTTATCTCACATATGGAAACCGAGGCGTGGTTATTGTTGCATACCGGCCACAGGTCTGTAGCTTCCTTTCCTATGGGACCGGTGATGGCTGAGCCCTTCATTTCACCCTTTGCGTTGACGATCTGCGGAAATTATATATGTTAGTATTAAGAGGTCTTCCAGACATGATGGTATCACATTTTCATCTTCCCGAATTCCTGCTCCTCAAGGAACCATTCAATTTGAAGTATGGTAACTCGACCACGTGCGAAAAGACTCCATCGCAGCGCAATCCGTTTTCCCAACCCTGACAAAAGGACCAGGGACCAGAAAGTGAAAAATAAGGGAAGGTAATACAAGTATAAGATCACTCACCACACCAGCATTATCCTCAAAGTACAGATAAATGCCATCCGCCCGTCGCCACGGCTTGCTCTGTCTTACAACAACAGCAGGCATGACTTTCTTCCTCAGCTCGGGCTTACCCTTCTTGACGGTAGCCATGACCATGTCGCCAACACCCGCGGCGGGGAGACGGTTGAGACGGGCTCCAATGCCCTTGACAGAGATGACGTAGATGTTTCGCGCACCGGAGTTATCGCAGCAGTTCATCACGGCGCCGCTGTGTTGAAAACCTTTGTCAGCATGGAATCTTCGCCTCGTATTTTGCATTTTCTTCCCGTCCGCATGCGTTTGGTTTGTTTTAATGGTTCGATGAGGGCTTTGTTGGGCATGTGGTGACATATTTTATAGGTAGGTTCCTGGGGTGGGAACTGGGGAGGGAGAGAGGGAGTTTTTCGTTTCAAAACGTACACTGGCAGACCGAGAGTCATCTTTAGCTTGTTGCCGGCGGCACCACCACGACTGTAGAAGACAGCAAAAGAAAAAGTCAGTTAAAAGTTTTCTCCAATTCAATATTTCCAATCTTCATTTAAAGATCTCCCCGCGCCGCCCGCTTCAACCTCAAAATCCATCAATTCGCGCTTTCATCCACCCCCTGCATCCTCGTCTAACATTATTCTTTCATCTGATCCGTTTCCTTATTTTTTTCCACACATTTATCATCCCTTTCTGCCTCCACCCCTCCTCACAACCAGAAGCGATCAAAACATTGGATTGGGGGTTCCTTTCAAGCCTACCCTCTTTTCGACATGGTGTTGGATTATGAAGTTTGTGCGTAACCGGTCAAAAAAGCAACAGGTGGTGGGGAATTTGGCGACAGACACGGTCGAGGGCGGCTGTTTGTCGTCTGGGTTGTGTCGTCCGTTACTTCGAGGCTTCGCGATATTTTGTGTCGCTTAGTGTGGGCTAGAAATCTTAGCGCCCGGATTAGCTGCAGTTCGGGAAGATTAGTCAGATATACACGTGACTTGCCCTAACGCTAATATGATTTGGGAATCAGAGATCAACCTCCAGGGTTGCGTATTAAAGTGATTTATTAACATTGAGTAGAGCTTTACGGGAAAGATTCAAGATGATATAAATTAGACTACATATAATGAAGCTTCAAACATCTTTGCATAATAATTTAGTGCTATTTAATGTATTATAGCTGAAAATGGCTTTTTAATTATAACATGATATCGTCGGTTTGACTGCTAACACGTGATAAAACGAAGAGCCGATGTGAAATTTATTGAAACAAAACAAAATGGGGAGGAGGACACACTTCCAAGTCTGATACGCCTTTTTGAAAAATCATCCCATACACACAAAGATACAAATAATACAGGGCAAGACAAAAGGGAACCATAAATTTAAAAGAAATACCTTCCCAATTTGACGCCCAGAGCGCCTAAGCCTACGTCAATGCGGAGCATAGAACAAACGGGGAATTTGTCGAAAGTCCAGTTTCGTTACGGTGTATATGTTATCTGTCCTAGTAAACGCACCAGCAGTTCATACTTATAGTTGCTGTTCATCATCCTTCTCCTCCTGCTTCAGAGGCTCCTCCTTCGTAGCAGCTGGTACAGGGGGAGTTCCAGTGTCCGCGGGTGTAGATGTTTCTGATGGCCCCGCCAGCTCCGGCTGTGTGGGCTCAAAAGGCGCAGCTGGTGGCAGCGCTTCAGCTGAATGTGATTTCGGTGGTGTTGCTTTACGCGGCTCCTCTTTAGGTACTTTTGGCGCCTCTGTTTTGGTGCTGGTGGCAGCAGTGGTCGGTTCTTCTGGCGGCGCATCTTCCATCATCGTGTCCATGTCGGTAGTGGTTTCCGGTACGATTGATTCGCTAGTTGATAGGGGTGCTGACTCTGACGGCTCCTCTTCATCCGCAGCGGGAGGCGCAACAACGGCTTCGTTGCGCTCGCTAGTGGATATGTCGTCTGCATCCATCCTTGACTCCGATCGCGTTGCCGGTTCCTCTGGGGATGGTGTCCCCTTGTCTTGGATCTCGACTTCTGCTTCGGGCTCCGCTTCGTCGGCATCCTCCATTTTTTCATCAAGGCCAGCGTCTTCGTCTGGCAACGATGACTCTTCCCGAGGAGTAACCAGGCCACTGTCAGCGCCAGAATCACCTCCGTCAAGATTTCGGTAGTTGACCTGGTTCCGTCGCTTGATAACACCAGGCTGCGGACGGATTCCGTTCGCAGCTTGTTCTTCTTCGTCTTCACTGTCACTTAATTCACCCTCCTTTTCGATGTATTGGTCAAACCGCCGCTTGGTAAACCTCCTATCCTTATTCTCGTCTTCGTCGAGATCGTCTAGAATGGCATCGGCTTCATCATCCATTCCATCAAGTAGAGGCCCTCTTGGGACGTCCGTCATCTGAACAGACGGGGCGAAAGCAGTGCGCTTGAGGTTTTCAATAACCTGCATTCGAATCTTGTCGAGGTACTCTTTTGAATTTGCATTGTCCATATTCGACGGGCGAACATCAAGTTCGTAGTCAGGAGAAAAGTACTGCAGTGATATTAGCTTACAAGTCTACAAGCAAGTACCCCAAAAGGTATGGGTTGCCTTACCTCATAGTAGTCATTATATGGCAACTCAGTCCCCAACTGTTCACCCACTAGAATTCCAGTTTCGAAACACCACGTTCGAGCCACATTTCTCATAGTGTAACCACCACCACCGACAATCATAGTTGGAATGCCAAAGCTCCTCACGTATTTGACGCAATTTGCATGCCCTCTCATACTCAAATTAAAGCAACCCAAACGGTCTCCGGACAAGCTGTCTCCACCACATTGCAGCACCACTGCCTCGGGACGGTACCATTCCATAACGTGTTTAATGACCGGCTCAAAAATTCCCTTATAGCTTATATCATCAATACCATCTCGCAGAGGGAAATTAACGGCGTAATGTTTGCCCGCACCGACGCCGATATCGCGTAATTCGCCTGTGCCGGGGAAATATTCCCCATATTTATGGAAGGAAACTGTCATGACTCTGTCGGTGGTGTAAAAAGCTTCTTCCACTCCATCTCCATGGTGCACATCGATATCGACATATAGAACTCTTTGTTTGAAACGTAACAGCTCGAGAATTCCAAGCACGATATCTAAAGCAAGTCGTAATCAGTGTGTAAGCAGAGGCATTATTAGGACCCATCGCAGGGTTTGCGCAACATACCGTTCACGTAACAGAAACCACTTGCTTCGCTCTTTTTCGCGTGGTGAAGGCCGCCAGCCCAGTTGACTGCGATGTCGCATTTGTTCCGGTTGAGGCGTGCAGCGCCCTCCATGCTTCCTCCAGCGCTAATTCCGCAGAACTCGAAAAGGCCATCAAAGACTGGACAGTCGTCGCCGACATTGTATCGGCTTTGCTCTTTCGCGTAAGAATCCATGTTATCAGGCGTAACTTTTGCGAGGAAGTCAATATATTCATCGGTATGGAACTGGGTCATTTCGAACTTGTTCGCCGGTTTTGCGCGCTATTAAAACAAAGACTCCGAAAAGCTTGTTAGCGAAGTTGGCGAAGCAGCATCCCAGCTAGAGAAAAGGCTGGATGTCATAGCGGAAGTTAACATATACGAGAAGAAACGTACGTAAATTTCCATCTTCTTATATAGGCCGTAATTCATAACTAAGCTATGGGCCATCCGGATGCGATGGGGCTTCATGGGATGGCCTGCGACATATGCATAGTTGCCCACATCGGAATCATAAAAGTACGCAATCCTCTTCTTATCGGCCGGGCCATTGGCGATACTCAGGTCGAGGGGTGCAAATGACGACATGGTGAAAAGTGCGCTCGCCTATAGCTATATGATCGGGTGAGAGGAGCAAGATTCAAAGCTCGAAGGCATGTACTTCGTGCAGAGGGAAGAGAGTAAAGTAGGGTATTCGGATATCGTCAGCAGCACAGAAGCAACAGCATCCTATAACAATCAACAGCGCCGGTCGTGGAGAGGGGTTGGGGCGTGGCGGCTGGGATGGAGGGAGATAGATAAAGAAGTGAAAGAGAGGGAGCAAACCTCAGTCAATGGCCGGCGAAAGAGCTCGGAGACAAGAAAGAAAGGGAGCAAGTGAACGAATTGGATGAAGGGGCGTGATGACTAAGCGCGCTTTGGTCTGCATGTTTTGGGAGAGCGCAGAAAACCGCGACAGAGCATCATCACAGCGCTTGACTACAGCTGCTACAGCTACCATCATCGGCCCTTGACTTACTTCCTAGACACCGGCATCCATGTTCCACTTGGTTAACCACTGATCTAGTACTCCGTCGAACATACCCTCTCCCGATTCCTACTCTGTTACGTGCTAGTTTCAAGCTTCGCAAGCACCGGAGCCTATTGTTGGAGCTCCATCTCTTCGGAGCCAGCCAGGGACAGCCACATCACACTGTCTACCTCCTACGCATATTCGATCACACTCAACAAACAAATATCGCGAAAATGGAGCGGTTTAATCGGATGCTGCAGGCCGCCCAGGGCATGGGTATGAGTAACGCAGCTCCCGGCGCAGTAAGTTTTGCTCTGCCCGGTTGTGTCACCCTCCGGGTTTGCTTGCGTTCTTTTTATATGATTCCTTGATAAAGGCTGGAATAAGGGCGCGCTCTCTTTGAACATCCACTCTATATATATTGCCCTATCGCGACAATAATTATACCCAGGCATTTTTCTTTTATTACAGTTCCAAGAGCTAACAGCATGACTACTCAGGATGCACCCAACCTCATCGATAACTCAGAAACAGTGCACATATCGTCGCTGGCCTTACTCAAGATGCTGAGACATGGCCGGGCAGGTGTACCCATGGAAGTTATGGGTCTCATGCTAGGGGATTTCGTTGATGAATATACTGTTAGAGTCGTTGATGTGTTCGCGATGCCTCAGAGCGGTACTGGAGTTAGTGTTGAAGCTGTGGACCCTGTCTTTCAGACCAAGATGATGGAAATGCTTAAACAAACAGGAAGGTTAGTTTTGTTCTCTTTCACCTTTGAGGGTGTCTCTAACCAATCATCAACTGACCCCTTCTTAATCTTGCTACAGACCAGAGACCGTCGTCGGATGGTACCATTCTCACCCCGGATTCGGTTGTTGGCTCTCCTCCGTTGATATCAATACCCAACAATCCTTCGAGCAACTCACCCCTCGCGCGGTAGCCGTCGTCGTCGACCCTATACAGTCCGTCAAAGGCAAAGTCGTTATCGACGCCTTCCGCTTAATCTCCTCTCAGACGCTTATGATGGGACAGGAGCCCCGACAGACCACCTCCAACCTGGGTCATCTGAACAAACCGTCTATTCAATCGCTTATCCATGGCCTAAATCGCCACTATTACAGCATTGCCATCAACTACCGCAAGACCGGACTGGAGGAGAATATGCTGATGAACCTTCATAAACATGTGTGGACGGAGGCGCTGCAAATGAATGATTTTAGAGAGGAGGGGAGCAGGAATGTGGATCGGCTGAAGAAGCTTGTTAGCCTTGCTGAGGGTTATGAGAAGCGCGTAAAAGAGGAGACTGAGTTGACAATGGATCAATTGAAGACTCGATATGTTGGGAAGGTGGATCCGAAGAAACGTCAGTACCATATCATTTATCTCCCCTCTTGTTTTTCTAAGCTCTAGTCCCACTAACCAGTTCGCTGTTACGGTTTATTATATACAGACATCGAAGATGTTGGCCAGCAACTGATCGAGGACAACATCGTCGCCGTCTCACGGCAGATGATCGATAAGGAAGCCTCCTTGGCCATCGACGCGAGTAAAAACGGGACGCAGAGCGAGTCAATGGATGTGGATGAAGAGCTATGATCTTGGCCTGTTTTATTTTAATTTTGCTACTTCATTCCTGCACTTTTCTGAGCATGAAATGTCAGGCTCCTTATCTTCTCTAGAAAGGCACTAGCATGATTCCCCGCAATTAGCAATGTGAAAGACGGGATACACATACACTGTACTGCTGTAAACTGGCATGAGGAAGGTGGGAAGGTTTATTGCCCTTATTTCTTGTGGTACTCCTACTGCCTTAGCCTCTGTATAGATGTGCAGCTGCTGTAGCATAGAAAGGAAAATAATTACTTGGGGACAACAAACTTTGGAGTGATAGCTCCTTTACCCGTAGTAACTGCTATCCCCGAAAGATACATACCTGAAGGCCTGTAATTCTTCTAGTCACCCCCAGGATGGAGGGCTTGGAAGTGCGGGAGGGAGCCGCTTTTACTCATATCTACTCCTAGAGCTTGAATGATACGGTACAAAGCGGGAAAAAATAAAGAGTAGATATAGATTTGTTACACAACAGATCCAATACAGGTGCGACAACACAAAACAGAGAGGCGCCTTGCCAACCGCCGTATGTGCTTGTTATATCGATGCCAACGGAACAGAACAGCTCACAAGACTCAGTTAATTAAAACAAAGGCAAAGCTGACGTTCTTGGGGTGGCACGACGGACGGAGCATTGATCTCCCCGGCATCTACAACCCTATGCACAATGATTGAGCATAGAGTCAAATTTCGTTCCGCTGGGTTTCAACTTTCATTAGGTTGAGGAAGAAAAGACAAGAGAAGATGAAAATGTTCGCAGAAATTGTTTTGTGGTGGTGGAAGCTGACTAAGTAACTGCACTTCCGGCCTGCCATTTCTCCCGTAGCGCTATTCAGGGATTCGATCCTGGAGCTTTTTTGAGGTTTTTCAAACTGTAGGTTTCTATACATGCAGAAACTTCCACAGAAGAGAAACACACGACCAAGCCTTGTTTCTCTAATGCTCTATGCCGTCGACTATGAAAATATAGAGCATCTTTCATATCTTTTCACATTGGTGTAAGAGGTTTTCTCCAGCATGCTCAGTCGTGCTATGCTGCCTCTTTTGAGGCCTCGTGGGGTTCCACTATCTATCCGAACCTCCTCCTTCACATACCCTCCTACACATCTACGATATTTCGCCAGTAATAATAGCAAACCTCCGCGACCTAATGGAGGCAAAGCGCCTTCTCATACGCCCTCTTCAAACCCCGAACCTTCCGCCACGCCTCCTTCACAATCATCCAAATCAGGACAAGAGTTTTCAGAGAGCCAGCCAGAATTTGAATCAAGTGGGAAATCTCAGAAGAATACCGCGCCCGAATCTGCAGGAACTGCAACTGGCGGAGGTGCGGGAGCTGGGACAGCACGGACGAGTAGTTCTGAGCCACAATCCGATTTCTCCAAGGATCAACCGGAGTTCGAGACAGAGGCTACCTCTCCGAAGGATGAAGCGGCTGCGGAACCATCGCCTTCACAGCCCCAGAAACCCCTCCCAGACCTCACCCGAGGCATCCCTTCTACGATAGCAGAGGAGCTTGAAGCTCGTTCAAAACATCGTGGTCCAACTGCCCTTAACCTCACGGAGGAAGATGGTTCAGGGGCAGGTGAGGGCGGAGACGTCCCCAAAAACCCTTATGTGTCATCCACTGAACGCCGACGAAACAGATTCATCAATATTATGTATGCTGTGTTTCTGGGAAGTGGTGTGGGTGGTACAATATTCCTAGGCCGAAATTGGGATACTGAGGAGGAGGAGAAGCTTCACAAGGATGCGCCCTCCGGTTGGGGATTTGGGCTCTTTTTCGCCCGTATCAAGGCTCGTTTCTCTGATATCACAAGTTACTATAAGGATCCAGCATTCGAGAAACTTCTTCCGGACGATGACCCGATGATGCGGCAGCCTTACACACTAGTTATTAGTTTGGAAGATCTTTTAGTCCACAGTGAATGGACGCGGGAACACGGATATCGTGTGGCTAAGCGACCTGGGGTCGACTATTTCCTTCGATATCTCAATCAATATTATGAATTGGTTCTCTTTACTAGTGTTCCGAGTATGATGGCAGACCAGGTGCTTCGCAAGCTTGACCCGTACCGGATCATTCGTTGGGTCTTATTCCGAGAAGCAACCAAGTACGAGGACGGTGAGCATGTCAAGGTATTTATTTACTTTCTTGCAGTTTTTAATTATCGGGATTATTATACTCAACAAAACCTTTGTAGGATCTTTCCTACCTAAACCGAGACCTTTCGAAAGTTATTATGATTGACACACACGCTCCACACGCCAAACGTCAACCTGAGAACGCCATCATCCTTGACAAATGGAAGGGTGATCCCCGTGACAAGGACCTCGTCGCCCTTATCCCATTCCTCGAATACGTCGCCGGGATGGGCATCGAGGACGTACGACCAGTCATCAAATCCTTCGAAGGCACCAAAATCCCCGTGGAATTTGCTCGGCGTGAGAAACTGATGCGAGAAAAGTTCCAGAAACAACTAGCTGAAGAGCGGGCCAAGAAACCCAAGTACAGCGTCAGCAGCATTGCGTCTCTACTAGGCATCAAGCCCACACCCCCAACGATTGATGGTGTTGACCCGGCCGCAGGCCTGGAGCAGGGCAAGATGCTGTGGGATCAGATTCGCGAGCGGGGCCAGAAGCAGTATGAGCTAATTGACAAGGAGATTCGGGAGAATGGGGAGAAATGGCTGGCGGAGATGGCAGCAGAGGAAGAAAAGGCGAGGGAGGAGCAGATGAATGGGATGCGGAATAGCTTTACGGGGTTCTTCGGCTTTGGTAGTGGCGGGGATGGCCAGGCGAGGAAATGATTTTCCGAGTCCATAATACATCCCCTCCCTCTCCCGAAATGATCTTTTCTTTTGCTTTTTTGTAAATTGACAATGTGCTTCAATCCCGAAGGCACTCGAATCCCAACCATGAATACCTCAAAATACCAGCCCCATGTCTCATCCAGCCCTCCCATCCTTCAGTGGCACTTTTCTACGTTCTAATCTACTCCACTGGGAACCGGCCGGACATGAAAACAATCCCTCTCTCCAGACTTCCCCCAACTCTCGTCCTATACAAAGTCATGATTTCCAGCTTATTCAAACTCTAGGTTCGCTATTGGCATACGTGGCTTGGCGCTGTTGTCTCTCCTCTCCTTATCCTTCTGGAACTTTTATCCCACTTTTCAGACCCACGCTGTCCTCTGTTGAATGTATGTATGGGTTGGGTTACTTGCATGGCTATTTATCTTCTTTTTATTATTTTTATATCGTTATTTTATAGTCCCACCTTGTTCCAGTTTAGATATTGATCTACATGCATTTCATCTGGTGGAAAAGATGGGGGGGATGGATGGCTTAGGAAGGGAACAGACCGGTCAAGGGGCTTTTCCTTTCCCCTTTCTTTAACTTGCTTTTCTTGTTTGTATCTAACACATATATGTATATTATTTGAAGAATATGCGTGTTGGTAATACGCATGTAACTAAATGGTGATGGACAAAGATTTACCTATAAGACACCATGGATTCCCCCTCATCCCCAAAGCACCAATCTCCAGTCTCTAAACGCACACAACACCTTCTCACATCCTCACGTATAGTACCCCCCTTTAACCCCCCCACTTTCTAACTCCTCCCCCCCCTTCGTATCCGCCATCAACCCCGTGTGCATATGGGAGGAAAGGGGAATGGCGGAGGAATATATCATATTTTGAGCTTTTCGTTCCTGGAAAGAATTGGAGAGTGTATGAAATAGCGCATAGCTGGAAAAAATAAGTTAAACAAATACCTGTCTAGTCCCACCTCCAAACAGCTTCCGAAACCACTTCGCCCGCTCAAAAAACGCACGGAATCCGAGTATTATGCTGCCCATCGGCGCCCCTAGGCCCTCCGCAAAGCATATGCTGATACTATCGAACAGCCGCAGTATTCTTTCGCATCAACTCCTTCCCCTGCAATCCCGTCAAATAGTCGGGCTCCATCCAGGTGCTTTGCGATGGGCTTCTGACTTTCAGGGACAGGAAAGGAGCACACAAAGCTGAGACGTCTTGGCATCTTTAAGTGGGAGGATGGTGCCGCTTAGAGTGTTTTCGAGAGATACCACTCTAGTCGATGGGAAGTTGATTGATTGATCGATTGATTGATTACATCTTTAAGTTGGTGTCTGCATCCCGTAAGGGCGCTATGCAACTGGTCTTGATCTAGCCTAATTAGGTAGTTATCTTAAGCGAGGCCCGGCAGGGCCTCGCATGCTGCCACCCAAATTGCCACCTCCTCCTCCTCCTCCTGCTTCTCTTGCGGCCGCGGCGGTAGAACGCCGTGCCTTGCAGTGGGATGTCGTCCCTTCTGCCGGTCGGTTCGACACCGTCCGGTCCTTCCCCTGCCCCCCCCGCCGCCGTTGCGACGCCGCCCCCCCCCTCAACCAACACGGTGGCGTATGACCCCGTGTGGTCATTCGGAGAGGACCTCGGGGAGAGCTTGGTTCTGACGTTCAGTCTGGCCATCTGTCTGAGGATGGAATGCGGTGCTGAGGAGGCGCCTTATTGTAAGGTGATAGCAAAAGGCTGACCAATATTTGCTGATGAAGAGAGATCCTTGATCTGTTATCAACAATTTCAGAGCACTGTGATCACAAATAATGATATCTAGAAACAGATCAGTCAATTCAGAGGCTTTAATCTTTTTATAAGTAGGAATATATTTTATCATCTTCATGAAGTTATCAATAATAATCAAAATTAAGTCATATTCTTTTGTAGCATCCGCCCTAGTGGCGTTGCCGTAGCGACCGCTCCGCCTACACGTGATCTCATATGTAATATATATAGCTAGCTCTTCCTACACGAATACAACAGATTAATCATCCCACAGGTTATAGCCCGGATAGCACGTTTTTTTTTTTCCTTCTTACTTTTGTTTAAAAACACCTGTGTAAGCATTGGATGTGTTCACCTCAGATAGAAGAATCCTTTTACTATGTTTACATTGCATATTACAAGTGTATCTAGACTGATTGTGTGATCGTGTCTGAGATCAGGACCAGATTTTTTGATAGTCTCATTATCAATTCAACTGATTCCATTACATGATTTTAACATTAGATAGTAGTTTCATACTGTCTCAGTGGGACTTACTGTCTACTCTTGTCACATTTTTCAAATGAGACCATGATTTTCACTTCTCAATTTAAATTATTTTTATTGCTTTAAATGACTTTAAATCTCATTTGAGTATTATCAAAAAGTGTTACTTTTTAAAAAATTAAAAATAGTCTAAAAAAAACCTTAAAATGTCTAAAAATAGTAACTTTATATCAAGAATGAGACTAAATGAAATTAAATGAGATCACTTTCTTATTTTTTTTAAGTCATGATTTCATTTTAAGATCTAATATATAGTCACTTTATCTGTTTTTTTAATAGCCAGTCCTAGCAGAATTCATGCCAAGAAATGTATGAGATCAGATTAAATGAGATCAAATGTGAAATTCATGGTTTCAGTAGCCAGTCTAAGTGTATCTACTTGATCAGCAATTGAAATAGCAGAACTCTATGATATAATATAACACATTTTTTTTTCAATTTCTTTATTCAACTCTTCTTTGACTGATGAGTGATATGCCTACATCACAGAGTGATAGAAGAAGAACTTTATATTTACATTCTTACACTCAGATATCTATCAATGAAGAATCAGAGAAAATAGATACTATATAATACACAGAAGTTATAGAACAGATCATGAAGTTATCTGTAAATAGTGAAGTAGATTATAAATCAGATAATAGCATCTCAAGTTTATAAACAACATGTATAGAAGTGTGATACACAAGTATTATATCTAGAATGAGTTCAGATAATATAATATTAATGATATTCAATAATCTGATAATATTCTATAACAGAATAAGTGTGTATTAAGTAGTCACTTCTGCAGCAGATGATTTCAAATCTGAGATTCACAAATATTAAAGAAATGTTCAAAAAGTCATGAATATTAAAACTGTAATTATATTTAATGATAATAACTACAAGATCTGATGTACAGAAATTCTTGCAGATGCTGAAGTCATCAGTGAATCTAATATTCTTATAAAGCATTAATATGTCTGTTCAGAAGATATCAGTCAAGATACATTAAGTGCTGAAAAATAAAGCATTCATATCAAAGTACTGTATTAATATATATTACAGTTCTTATTAGAATCTGTATATACAATCATTGAAACTCTTGAGTCAGATAATGCAGTTATACTATGAGAAAGAATTGAGATTGAATATGCTGTCTCACTTGTGAAGAAATGTATGAATATTGTGAAAGAATTCATCATCTTATATATCAGAGATAATAATTATCTACTATTTTAGAGAAGATTCTGTTATCTAGTTACATATCATAAGAAATTAATAAATAACTTAGAAGATTTCTATTATAATCTCTTTCTTATTAATCTGAAGAAGCATTAAAAGTCTTTTATTAAGATATATTTAGACAATTTCTACACATCTGATCAGAACTCTATACACAACATCAATATTAATAATCTTATAAAACAGTTGACAAACTGTATAAGTAAGTTCAAGAATGAATATTCTAAGTCTCAGTGAGTTAATACAACTATCATGACTTTCTCTACATTATTCATATACAGTTTCAAATGTGAGATATGCAGTTTGAGAGGACACTGAAAAAATATCTGTTAATATCTGTATTCAGAACTTGCTACTGAACAGTGATATAAGTTAAATAAGAAATATATTATTACATCTGAGAAGAATAATAGTAATAATATCAGTATCAGTGAACACAGCAAGTGAAAGAGTAAAAAGAAGAATAAAAATGATAAGAAGAAGAAATTCTCTGATCTTATAATCTTACAATCTGCAGCTGTTAATATGATAATTGCTTTTTCAGTAACTATTGATATAATAAGCAAATCTTAATTTCTTGACATATATGTGAGTTTTCACATGACAGATGAAAAGCAGTTTCTCATTCAGTGAAAGATGTACAATGATAATATGAAGATTTATAAAGTAAACAGAGATTACAGTCATATTAAAGAGATCAGTGATCTTCTTCTAGAATCTGAAGAAGAAAATATCACTGTTCATGATATTTATTATATTCTCAATCTCACAGTCAATCTATTGTTATTTGTCAGGTTGAAGAATCAGAGTTTTCAATATAAGCTTTCAAGCTCAAACACTCTGTTCTATTTCATTATTAAAGTATTAAGTGAAGTGATTTTCACTGCAATCTGTATATCTCAAAACTCAATTTATAAAATAGTTGAAAGAATGTCAGAAGTTGATGTACATCATAAGTCTAAAGCAGTCTACTTCACAGTGAAATTATATGTATATGATAATAACTATGCTAAAGTCATGACTGCTATTAGTGATAATGATTTCACTGATAATCAATCTCAATATTAAGAATCATCTATAACTGTGAAAACACATACAGAGTGATATATTGATCTGAAACATATATATACAGAAGCTATTATAGCATTGACAAAGAATTCACTATCTGACATCTGTATCAAAGATATCAAGATCAATTTCTTTTACAACACCTGTATTAAAGCAGATATGATATATAAATACTCAATCATCTTTATATCACAGACTGTACACTCAATGAAGTGAATTCATATCAATCTTACAGATGATGAGTGAACATTGAGTAAGTCTACAGATCATTCTATTGAATCACAGCAGAGTAATAAATATTACATATTAATTATAAATGACACAATCAGATATAGATGAATCTATTTCTTACACATTAAGAATCAAGCTTATGATTACTATACACACTGAGTTCAATTCATGAAGAACCGAGGTTTTACTGCACTAGTATATGTCAGAACTGATATTGATGATATATTCAGATCTATGAAGATTACAGCATTGTTTATTAATCATGATATAGTATGAGAATTAACTACTTCTTAATCATCACATCAAGATGACATGTCTGAGTGTGAAATACATACAATTATAGCCTGCATCAGAGCAGTTCTTATTAATAAAAAGATCTCAAAGAAATTCTAAACAGATATTCTGAAAACAGTTATTTCAATCATAAATAATACACTCATGTCTACAGTTCTATGTAATGAAAAGTATTGATCTGCAGTTGCAGATGATGATAGTAAAGAAGCTGTTTATAGCTCTTATACAATTCTCTTTTCAGTATTGATGAACATCTCATCACAGATCACATATTTCTGTGAGCTTGAAACTGATGTTTTTACTCATCTTTATAAATTATAGAAGCTGTTGAATAAGTTGTCTGCACAGATCAATTCATATAAGCTTATTAAATTCTGTGAATGTTCAATCTATCACTTGTGAAGTTCTATAACAGATAAAATTATTGATACAAGTGATATGATTTTTCCTGCAAAAGTGTAAGAAATGCTGAAGATTACTACAACTACAACTGCAGTAACTGACACTGTTTCTATCATCTATTTAATGAAGAATTCTGACATTTCTGAATTAATGAGTACAGATTGAATGCAGCTGATAAAGACATTTACAGCTTATACTTTCACTCTCATTACTGATTCTCTTCTGAAATCACACAAAAATGCTATGAGTAGATCAGAAATGATGAGAGATTATTAAAAGAAATCAATATAACATAAAATATCTGATCTTGAGAGGTACAAGATCTGAACACTTATTTCACATTCTGACATCTTATATAATGAATCAGTGACATCTGATCACTGAGTATTCATTGAAAAGAATCACTCTGATAATTTCAATGCTGATGAGAATGATATATTGCAAAAATCTCAATGAGTTGTATATAATAACTTATTGAAGAAAGACACTCATCAGAAGACTTACATCTCTGTGATTATAAATATAATAAATTGAATGATATTCATAATTGCTGT